CCCCGTGCGTGGGGCTGGACGGCGTCAACATGTTAATGAGCTAACTGCGCTAACGCATTAGTTTCCACCAATGTAATTGAGCATTGCGTGGCACATCCAACATACTGTTTTACTTTTGTCCATGACGCGCTTACCATCACGGTCATGCTTCACATGAAAACCAAGATATTTCCAAATGCCACATCTGAATGAGGGTGGGGGGGGTTCAATTTTGGGTAGCGTTGAGGCAGTTGCCATGTTGCAACGAGCTTAGCTTCTGTCTTGCTAGCTTGCGCTGCACTCAGTGGATCTTCACTCGTCAGTGCAGCCTAGGCGGAGAAGTCGAACGCAGATCCACTGAGCTCTCAACACAGACAGCATCGTCAGAAGAAAAGTTGGTAAAATAAATCAAAATTTTTATATTGTTCGATACATATGCATACCGAACCGAAAGCACTGTATCGAACGGTTCAATACCGATACGAGTATCGTTGCACCCCTAGTATACACCATGACTGGATTGAGTGTCACTACTTTTTTTAATTTCTGAAGTTTCTGTCTTTATTGTAGTGCTCTGTACGCTCCTCTGCACTGGACACGCTCAAGGTGACTGAACAGTTTTCACTTTTTTGTTTGTTTGTTTTAGTAAAGATTCATCTTAACTACTGTTTCAGTCTTAAGCACTTTACATTTTTTTAGTTAATTTTTTTTAACACTATATTTATCATTTTATCAATATAAACACAGGTTGTGCCTTGAATAGTACATAAATTGTTTCACATTGCTAATGCTGTGGTTGTGTTGGATTCTAGATGCTGTGCTAACTATTGAACCCAAATTGTCCAGTTATTTCATTGGAGAGTTTGTTACATTCAAATGTGACATGAATGAAGGAGAAGACACTGACTGGTATTACGCAATCAACAAGGATGGTCAAGAAGTTTCCTCCTACAGGACAAACAAAGACTCCAAATTAGAAATTACATCTACAAGTTACAGTGGTGAATATCAGTGCACTGGTCGCAGGAAGAGCTCACATGATAAAAAGAATAGTAATACTGTCTCTATAACTGTATTAGGTAAGTCTTCTGTGACCGACAGCATAAATGTATGATCCCTGTTCAACAACTCAACTGAATTATAAAATAGAGAACATTTAATTACATTTGTCACTGAAACTTGAACTTTAACCAGGACCACTGTACCTGCTACTTTGTTCACAGTGAAGTCAGTGCTACAATACTCACAGAATCTGAAATTTGTCAATAGTACATGTGTGAGTTTTAGCCACAGCAATCATAGATGAAATTAAATGTAATAACATTTCTAAAGAAAAAGAAGAAGCATCAGAAGCTTCATAAAGTTAAAGTGATGATGTTTCTGTTGTCCAAACCTGAAACTAGGAAGATCCCTCTTAACCCATCATTGTGATTTCTTCAACAGTAAACTGCATTAGTTTACATTCAGTGCGACTTCCTCAGGCCAGAGATTGGACAAACATTTAAACTGTGATTATTTAGAGATCAACAAATATGAATATAAACTGTATTGTTTTTCAGTGTTCATATGTTGTTATAATGAATCACATGTATTTATTTTTCTTCCTCTTTCATAACAGCATATTATCCCAGGGCGACACTGACAGCAGGAACAACAATCATACCAGTAGGGGGCAGTGTGACACTGACCTGCTCTGTGCAGAGCTCTGATGGATGGAAATATGAGTGGTTCAGACAAACCCAAAGAACCTCTATAGTTAAAATCAGAGATCAACAAAACAGAGATATCAGAGTATCTGAAGGAGGAATCTACAGCTGCAGAGGAGCAAGAGGAAACCCAGTTTACTACACTGATATAAATGATGATGTCACCATTGAGATAACCTGTGAGTTCAGTCATTTAGTTTGAAATATACATTCACTCGTGATTATCAAACGTACAATGTGAAGTTTTCTGTGTTGATTTCATGTTTCTGTTTGTATCTCAACTGTTAATATGTGTAAACAGTTTCCAATAAAGTTGTTGTAAAACAACAACCCAACTGGCCTCAGATATTCAGAGGTGAGACGATCACTCTGACATGTGAGGT